TTCTCCAGTCTCCTTTAGGCCAGTAACTCTGGTCTTTTTTTTGTGAGTTAGAATTATGCTCTACATCCTTCTCCAGCTCTGTCCAGAACCCTCTGTTGGGAAGGATCCCATTTTTTAAAATAATTTATTTTATTTTGTTGTTGTTAATATACACAGCAAAATATACACCAATTCAACAGTTTCTACATGTACTATTCAGTGACACTGACTACATTCTTCGAGTCATGCAAGTGTTCCTTTTCTGAATTGTTCCTCCCTTATTAACATAAACTTATTGCTCCCTAGGATTCCTATCTAATCTTTCGAGTTGCTGTTGTCAATTTGAAGCTCCCATTTTGCGAGCTCTTCTCTTAGGAAAGTTGTAGGATGGTTGACAAATGTCATGAGTCTCTAAATGACTGAAGTTTATGGATAGAGCAGATAAGGTTTGTTCATGAAACAGCAAAAGATTAGAACTAGGGACATGAAGTTTGAAAGAAATAATCTTAGGACAGGTTAAAGGCACTCCTTCTTTACACACAGGTAATTAACTTACTAAATTCCTTATGTAAGGTGTACCACAAATCAGGAATAGAAATATAAATTGGTTCCAAAAGGTTTTAGATAAATCATTAGCATCACATGTGAGGCAACGTGGGTGTTTGAGAGACCTCTTTGGTCTGTGAGGCTGCCAGAGTTTGTCCGCTCTCTTGCCCTCTTCCCATTCATAGACTTATAACTTTTAGCTGCTGCTTTTCTCAGCTTTCAGATCTCAGGAATGAAGAGACCTCACTTTAAGGATTACTTGGTTGTTATGACAATTCTGAAAATATTAATCTTGGTGATTAGGCATGTCCCCAAAGCAGACTTAGGCCCCTCCATCACCTGTGAAACTGGCCATGGAATGTCATATGTGTAGGACTGGATTACCTGTACCAAGTGGCCACCCAAGTTCCCCTGCCCACGGGAGGTGTAGCAGTCAAAGCCCCTCAGAAGTCCAGTGGGCAGCCTTCCTTCTGGTCCTCCAATCCCAATGGTGGAAAGAATCTTACAGATGATTCAGCTCCTTCATTTTGCAATGAGGAAATAACCCAGAGAAATTAAAATCTCTGCATGGGAATTTGGGTCGCAGTACAGTGTATCTTAGGAAACCGATTATAGATCACTAGCATGTATGCTATCATTCCTTAACTAACCATGGCAGACACTGTCAAAGGATTGCAGAGTTCTCTTCCAAAGGGAATGAAGTTCCTTTTCTATACCTACAGTAGGACCATTTCCCTGGGCTATTTACTCTTCTACTTCCAGTGAGAGGAATTCTTGCTCTCCACTGTTGCTTCCAGACCACCATTCACCTTGCTTTTGTAGTAACCCCTTTTCCATTGAGGCCTATACCATCCAGACAGGCCATCCTCTCTGACTGCCCACTGCTGTATTATTGACTTTCTGGTCACTCTCATTCGTGAAGGCTTTATGTGCTCCTAGCAGTCTTTTTTTACCCCCACTCCAATAATTTTCAGCAACTTCAGTGTCCAGGAAGATAACTCCTCATCCCATTCTCTGACTTCTCAGGTCCGTGTCCTCCTCATTTCCAGTGACCATTTCTACGTCTTGTCTTCAGCCACCTGTTCCCATCATCACAGCATGGACTTGATATCACACAAATTATGACATCTCAAAAGTCATTTTCTCTCCTTTGATTACCACCTCCTGACAAATGCCCCCACTGACACAGCCCTGTGACTTCCTGGAGATCTCCAATCCATTAGCTTCACCAGCTGCCTATCTTCTCTTTCCTCCTTGACCATCATTTTACTTCTTTCAATTCCCTAGCTCCTCTCTTCCTCTGTTATACTCGTGTAGTGAAATCCCAGCCAGGATAAACCCAGTGCTTTGTATTTTCCAGGCCTTCACCAAGCAACTGAACGTTGCTAGAGAAAAATGGCATAACTGGGTAGATGGTGTTCACTCTAAATTTATGATTGCCTTCCTCAAATGAGTACTTGGCTCTTCCTTTTCACTCACTAGCCCACCTCAATCTGATTTCTGCTAGTATTGTCCTTGCTGAGATCTCTGCAATCTCCACATTGGCAGACCTAAACATATGTTTCAGTCCTTGCCTTGCTAGACCACTTGGCAGTATTCCACAGGACTTTCTCCTCTACACACTCTCTTCTCTTTAGCCTTTACACTTGGTCCTCTCTCTGGTTGCTCCTTCGAACTTTCCTTGGCTGGATCCTCTCCTGTAAGTAAGCATTCCTCAGAGGTCTATCTTGGGTCATTTTCTCTCCACTGTTGCACCTACCCAGGTGATCTCAGACATCGTCATAGCTCTAAGTTCCATATACATGCTATGACTCCCAAATTTAATATTTCCAGCCCAGTTTTGAGCACTGTATCCATAGATTTAATTGTCTACTTTACACCCGCATATGGATGTTTCAGAAGTAGCTTAAAGTTAATACACTGAAATACTAATCATCTTCCCTTCCCAAACTTGATCCCCCTCAGAGGTTCCCATCTTGGTAAATGTCATTTTCCCCTTTCTGCACCTTTAGAAGCTCAGGAGTTGGCTTAATATGCCCTTCTCC